AGACTGGCTTCCTAAAATGCTTACTAGTTAATTATTGTCCATCAAGCGGGTGCTTTTTTTTTTTTGCCAAACTAAATTTATTTTCATGATTATTTCATTGAGTAAAAATCTTTCGTTCGTATGGTCTTTGAATTTTCTTATATACCCCTTAGCAACCTTACAGTGAGCGAGGACAGGAGTAATAAGGGAAGTTTGGCAGTTTGCTAGCTAAAACTTCCACATTAAAATGCAAGTCACTGTGTTGGGGCATCTCAGAGACCCTGAGGACCCAGCTGCAGAAGTCACCATGTATTAAGCCGCAGTACCTACTGAAACTGTTAGAACAGCACCATAGTGGCCTAGCGCAGACAGTGCATTTGCAAGTGCCATACCAGCAAGGCCAGCCTCTGTTTGAAAACAACTCTTGGCTTGCACATGATTTTTTTTTAGTGCGTTTTTATTGTTTCCTCCCTAATTGTAACATCCAGTGGTTTGCCAGTTGTGAAAGTGCTATGGTTTGTTTCCTCCTTGTATTTTTAAAGTCTTGTCCCCCGTATTGTCTTGCCCTTAGTCTAAGGACATTGCTCTGGCCCAGTCATCAGAAAGTAAAAGATTAGAGAATCCAGCCTTTGCTCTCCGCATGTTCACTCCAGTGTGAGACCAAAGAGGTAGCCTTCCTGTTCTCAGACTGGGGTGCCTACAAAGGACCCAGGACTAGAAGCCACTGCAGTGGCTTCCGGTGACAGGGTGACAATCAATATGGCATTAATCTACCAAGCCACATTCTCTACATAGCATAACTTAAAAGGAGGCTTAAGAAGCCTGGCTGCAGTAAAGAAAGTATTGTATGCAGACCAGTCCTTCTTGTTTATCAAGTCATGCTATATGCAAGTGCTCAGTGTACTTAGAGTTCTCTTGTATGAGTAAGTACTTGTCCCTAAAACTACACAGCCAATAAAAGTAGATGCGAACAGGGCCCTACCCTATCCTGTCTAAAACCTGAAGCCCTGCTCCTAGCTGAAGCCTTGCTTCTAGCCACTGCTCTATACTGAACATGTCAGCGTAAAACCACCCTGAGGAAAGGAAACCACAAGTTCAGCCAAGTGATGAAGGCCATTTCTAGTGTCCCAACAAGGTCTATCGTACCTCGCAGCCTGTGCTATCTGCCTTGGCCATAAGGTCTATGCTGGCTGGGGATGTGCCTGCTGTGCTGAGAAAGGGAAGGCCTGAGAATCTCAAGGAAACTGTGGAGGAAGCTCTCTTCTGTCTTCTGGGGAGAAGACGTGGCCTGGCGACATTATCATCACCTCTTTGGGTTGATTGTGTTTGCAACTAGTGTCAGAATCCCTGCCCTCCATTCATTCCCCAGGCAAATCTGCTGAGCGTCCTATGTGTCAGAGGCATAGCAGGCACTGCAGATGAAGGAGGCAGGTGGAATCGTCAGTAGAGTATAGACGTAAGGATAAGATCTCAACATCAGTGGAACAGCATCAGAAGCTTTGAGATAGACCCACCCACTTATGACGGCCTTTGACAGCAAGACAAGGCAATCCATTGGAGGGAAGCTAGTCTTTTTTTTTTTTTTTTTTTTTACAGACGTTGCTAAAACCACTGGACGTGGTATGGGGAGATGACCCTTAACCCATTGGAACTGTGCTCAGAAACACTAGACTGGATCATAGAACGCTAAAACTGGGAAAGGTAATAAGGAACTTCGGGGTGGAAAAAGCATTTTGATCTTATTTATTGGGACAGTGGCAGAGACGCATCAGGTATAAACCTAACGTGGGGAAGGATTAATGTGTGTGGATTATACTGCAGCGAGCTGAATTGTTTTCAATTCCTTTGCATAGTGTTTGCTGTGAACATTAACTAAGCTGCAGGCTCCTCATTCTGACCTGCAAAACCCAGCAGCGGTCATGGCCTTCCTTACCCTCTCCCGTCCTGCAGGACCCACGCCTGTGTTGCTTCCTCATCCAGGACCCCCTGCCTTTCTGTTGCCTTTTAACCAGAGTTTTCTTCCCCGGGCCTTGGCATTGATGGTCCTGGCTCAGGGGTCACTTTTTCAGGGAAGTCCTCCGTAACTGCCTAACCCAGGCCCAAGCCCATCACAGTGTGTTTTCCTAAACATGTGCCATGCATTCACATTTTCACAGGTACTTACTCATTTTCTGTTTCCCCCATGAGACTGTAAGCCCCACTTAACAGAAGCCAGCCTTGTGGTCTACTTTCGTATCTCCAAGACTGAGAGTGGAGTCTGCCTGGAGCACATGTTCACAAATAGTTTTGAATGTGTAAAGGGGCTAGAAATTGAGATTTAGTGCCATGGGGGGAAGAGAAACGTGACAAGGAAGGCCGCTGAGTGATTGGGCTATGGGAAACTGTTCTCTACGGAAGGCTATAGAAACTGGACAGGAAGCGACAGAATGAACTCAGGTAGGTCATGGAAAAGACTGCTACACTACTTCTGACAAGGTGATAGTGAAGATGGGATTGATTCTCACTGCCACTGGGTGAGAAGTGGCAAGGATGAAGAAGATACAGCCAATATATTTAATTGCATTTTTGGTTTTTAATCAATTTATTTATTCTTATTAGTTCTTTGAAATTTTCATGTAATGTGTTTTATTCATATCCCCCTCCCACAACTCCTCCCAGATGCCCGCCTTTTCTGCCCATCCAACTTTATTCTCATTTTTTTTTCCTTAAAACCAGCAAGTTCAATTTGTGCTGTTTTATATTCTTGGATATGGAACCCATCCAGTTGAACATGGTCAGTCTATACTCACTCCCATTTTTAAGTTTTCAATCTTGAGAATTTCACATGAGTATACTGTGATTTTATCAATTACATCTCTCTCCCCATCACACTCCCTCTCACAGTGAATTGCTCTCAGATTCGCTGCCTCTTCTTCTAGAATTATTTTTGCTAACTACTTGTAAACAGTCTACTGAATCTATTGAGTGCTGCTGTATATGCATGTTTAGTGCCAACCACTAGGGACTAGATAACCTTCAACGATCTACTGAATCTATTGAGTGTTGCTATGTGTGCATGTGTTTAGGACCAACCAGCAGGGTCTAGATAACCTTCAACAACCTACTGACTCCACTGAGTGTTGCTATAAGTCCATATGTTTAGGGCCAACCACTGGGGACTAGATAACCAATCAGGGGATTAGTCCCTGGAGAAAACAAATTCTGCCTCTCTCAACAGCTGTTGATTGATGTGGTTCTTCATCTAGGGGTGGGGCCTCATGAAATTTCCTTCATCCTTATTGTCATGTCTACTGGTGGGACCATCTTGTAGGCCTCGTTTAGGCGATCTGAGAAGCCTTTGCTTCCAAACGAGAAGCACATCACATAGAACATTCATCTACAAACCTAGAGTGACTTCACCCATGTTGTTGAGATTTTGTGGGTGCAGCTTCCCGGGCATATTAGGAAGACACCATCTCACATTATGCATCCTGGTTCTCTGGATCACAAAATGTTTCACCCCTTCTTCTACCATGTTCCTGGGGCCTTTGGTTTAGCAGTTGTGGTATAGATAGGCAGATTTGGGGGTGGGGGGATCGCTTGTTTTATGTATTTTGACCAGTTAGTGGATCTCTATAGGAGCCTCAGTCTACTGCCAAAAGAAGCTTCTTTGTTGAGGGGTCAGAGTTTCACTTATCTCTGGGTGTAAGTCTTTAGAATATAGTTAAAAGTTACAGTGACTTAGGATAATGGCAGTAGTAGATTGTCCCCTAGGGTCTATGACATCTCCAGTCATGTTTAGGTGGTAGGTATGCAGTACCACGTGCAGGTTCGATCCTAATGAGTAGGCCTTAATTCAAATTAGACAGCTGTTTGATACTTCTAATATGCAAATGCCGCAGTTGCACCATTAGGACTATCTTGCTGGGACAGTCACTGTGATTTTGTGGTTCTTTTTATCTATTTTTTGAGACAGGGTCTCTCTGTATAACCTTGACTCTCCTAGAACTTACTCTGTTGACTAGACGGGCCTTGAACTCACAGAGTTCCATCTGCCTCTGCCTCTGCCTCCCAAGTACTGGGACTAAAGGCACCACCACCCAGCTATCACTGTGGTTCTTGAAGTGAAGTCAATAGTATGTATCTTCTTGTGCTCCTGGAAATGAGAATACATGTTCAGACCTTCACAAATGATCGGGTCCTGAACAGATATAACGGATCCAAGAAATCAAGCATATTTTAAGTATAAAAATGTGTTTGCTTCTGTAATGTTAAAACTGAAGTGTCTACAGAATATCCAGCCAAAGATATCTAGTGGGAAGTTGACCACACTGACCAGAAACTCAAGAAAGGGGACTAAAGAAATGACCTTGGACCCAGTAGGGTTTGGGCAGAAATAAAAGTGTTAGATGAAACTGTAGAAAGGGCTATTCATTAAAGAAAAGAGAAAGGGAGAGAGGGGGAAAATGCTAGTGATGAACCCTAGGAATTAACTAGATTTTAAGAAATGAGAAGAGCATGTTGGGTGGTAGCTCATGTCTGTAGTTCAAGCACTGGGGATGCAGAAGTCGAACTGATTGCTCAGAGCCATTCTGGGTTATGTAGTAAGGCTGCATCTTAAAAAAAAAATTAAAGCATCCAATAATAGCTAAATGTGCAAATCATGGAAAGAAGCTTTTGAGAAAGAATAATTAATCATACCAATTGCCACAGTTGTTTGGCTAGAGGAAGATAACCACTTGGCAACAAGGAGTGATAGGTGGTCTTAACAAGGGCTACTTCAAGAAAGAGCAAGTAAAACATAGAAAATGATAATATGGTAAGGATGTGGCATGTAGGGATCTGAGCATAAGATACAAGATGCTTTCCAGAAGGCAGAACAATGGATAGTGGGGATTTAGGACATCAAGCACTGGTAGAAGAAATATGGTCTCTGTCATCTTAAGATTAGAATATCAATGGGCTGAGACACTTGATTCTCAAGCTGATGATGTCATAAGCACTGTGGAAGGATAATACTGAACCCAGTGAGTGCAGGTAAACAGACTGCCAGATGTCACCATTGCCTGGCAAGAGTTAGGGATCTTTCCTTCATTATCATAGTAATTATATAGTTGAGCAATTCTTCCCAGCAGTCTGTCTCCTGGGTGCAGACAGAAGGATGACAAACAGTTGGCTTGATCAAGGTCCCCTACGTGCTGAATTAATGTGTCGTGAGGACAAGGAGAGAAGATATTGCAGACTATGGTCTCTGCGGCTGAGTCTCAATGAAACATGAGTAAAAGTCATAAAAGGGGAGAAACTGAGAAAAAAGCAAGGGCCAGAAAGCCCCATGAGAATCGAAAAGCATCCGTGAGCATGGTAGACTGCAGCTAATGGCGGTTTATCCAGAACCTGAAAATTACTCAGAACTCCAGAATTTAGAATTTGGACACGGGGTGTGGCTGGAAGAGTAGTGGCTGAAATGGAGGCTAAAGGAGCAAGTTAGACCTTAGACACGGAGGATCCCGTCATGTCACCCTGCCCATCCTGACGATGCTACTCAGCCTGGGGAAGGCAAAGGAAGATCGAAAGCAGGGAATTCTGTGAGTGGCTGTTAGTGAGCAGGTAACAGAGGCACGGATGAGGGGCAGAGAGTGCAATCAGTTCTGGGATGGGGAGGCTTGGCTGAGGTGTGGAAGCTCTAATGAGGAATTAGGAGAACAGTAGATTGTTTCTGGGGAGTCCTTCCTAATGCTTGCAGAGTCCAAGCTGGGACCAGCGAAGGGTCCTGGAAGACATGTGCTTTGTAAAGGAAGTAGGAACCCTTAGGATATCATGAAGATAGGGGGAGGGGCAGAAGGCATCTTGTAATACTAAGCGAAAAAAGTGTAGATCGAGAAGTAACGTAAAATTAAGAGGCAATGTAAATTAAGAAATATTGTAATATTCAGATATGGTGGTGCGTGTCAATGATCCCAACACTTAGGAGGTAGAGACAGGAGAGTCGGGAATTCGTGGCTATCTTCAGCTACATAGCAAATTTGCAGCCAGGCTGTGCTGTCTCAACAACAACCAAAAGACAAAAACAACAAAAAAGTAAGATTATATCAATTATATTAATTATATCAATTAAGCATAAGAATTATATTTGTTCTTACTGTTTTAATACAGACATATAACTATATATTGTTAAGATTTCTGTCATAAAAATTAATATTGGACCACCAGAATATGTGTTTTATTTAAGAATGATACAGATTTATACCTTAGACCTTAGCACATTGGTATTACTTTGCAAGTTTTATTTAATGTTTCACTGTTAATATTTGTGTGTATATGTTTTTTTTAACAGATTCTTGATCAAGTACTTACTCCATGGATCCAGGACAGGATCGTCCCATGGCCTGCTCTGAACAGTGTACAGTCTAAGAGTCGAGTCCATCAGCAAACCATCTCTTGCCTTACAGAACAAGCCAAGAAGATGGACCTACTGAAGAACCATCCGACTGTGTGCTTACCACCTTCTGTGCCCTTCTTAATCCTAGTCTCCACTCTCGCAACTGCTAAGAGTGTCACCAACAGCACTTTCAATGGCACGGACGTGGTCTTGGGCTCTGTGCCTATAGTCGTTGCCAAAACTGACCACATCATAGTCAAGGAGGGGAGCAGCGCCTTGATTAACTGCAGTGTTCAGGGCGCCCCCGACCTAGGATTTAAGTGGTATAATTCTGTTGGCAAGCTATTGAGAGAGGCCGACGATGACAAGGAGAGAGGAGGAGGTAGGTTCCAAAGTGCTTTCTGGTGTCATAAACTGTAAGCAGGGACTTAAGAGCCCCTACCCTCGTACAGGCCACTTAAAAGTTCCTTTCTGTGTTGTTGTGCAGAGGCATAAGAGAGACTGTATACTCTTAAGGACTCAAGGAGTAATTAATTCATTTTTTCCACTCATTGACTCAGAAGACAAAGGGCAAACAGTGATGTCTTTAGAAAAGCCTCTTCTAGTGCTATGCTATTCTTATGCACCCAAGACGTTATAGAGCTGAGAGTCTATTCCCTGAGTATATGTTCCATCTATAAGATGTGTGTGTTTCCAGTCTTGGGAATGGTTCCAATAAGTAGTGGAGAAGTTGTTTATCAGTAAACACCAGTTTAGCTTACCTACTGTGGATTTCATGACCAACTTCTTAAGGAAGTGTCTGCGTACGCTCTCTGCCACCGGAAGAGTCTCCTTCATGCTCCTGGAGACCTGGCTGAGGTCAGTGTGAGGCGCCTGGGAAGCTGGGCAGCAGATGAGTCTCTGGGGTGCAGTGGGAGACTTCTTGACTAGAAGGTATGAAACCTTTTCCCAAGCCCCAAGCTTCCCTCACCAGAAGCTGCATCCAGAGACAGGCTTTGAGACATCTGGAATCTAGTCTTCTTGTCTAAGATGTGTGAGGAGATGGTGTAAAGCCCAATCGTGCTTCAACTGACGTGAAGGAGTTAATACAGAGACCGTTGTTCAGAAGCAACCCCTCTTCCCCTCCTTCCGCTGCATTGCCCTCCCCTCTTCTTAACCCTCTAACCATTGAACAATCCCCCAAAGAGTTTCTGCTCCAGAGGGGGAAAAAAAAACTACATATTTAATCTCTTCCCCTCATATTATCTTAATTGCACTGCAAAGGGAAGAAGTCGAATGCTTTGCATCTGCTTAGGAGGTGCTTGCCAGTGCGGCTTCTCTTTCACAGTTCTGTTCCCAGTGGAGCCGCAAGTCTGAATGCCTGGGATGGACCCCCTGGCCAGCCTGCTTCTGCTGCCATTGTTTCGCTTAGCCAATCAGGACTACATCATGCAGTATAACTGATTCCCTCCCATCAAAACATTACATATTACAAATCATGTGTGTGTTGAATCTAGGCAAGGGACGGCCATTCCCCACCAACTCAGATTGCACTGTCATAGGTAGTGGGGACTTTACACACATAACTGTCTGGATTTTTATTGATATCTGCCTGAGGTCCTGCTGCCAATTAAATGGCTGTAACTGAGTTTTCTCGACTGGCAATGGAGAGATGAGAAACACCACCCCTTAGTCTACAAATGCCACCCCTTCTCCCATAGCCGTCAGTCAAAAGGATGGCATTGTGTTAGTGAAGAAAGGGAGTAGTGTGGTAGGTAACACACACGCAGACTTTAGCGGGTCTTTCTGCAGGACTGGACTACTCCTAGGGTGTCAGGAGGACTGAACTCAAGAACTCCAGACATAAATCCCCCTCTCACATGGACCCTGAAGCAAAGCCTACTCCTGGGTATTTGAAGAGGAGTCTGTGCACTGAACTGCTGAGCGTTAGGAAGGAAACCATGGTAATGATGGAATGCTGGGGCCTATATTTCAGTCACATCAGTGTAAGTGCTGTTCCAAAGCTGTGCCCTACTGCTTCAGAGAAATCCACAGTGCCTTCATTGAAAAGGTCTTTGGAACTGTGGAGTAGCCTCAGCAAGCAGACATGCCGGCTTACTTTTTTCATTGGCATGGAAACATGGTTGAACTGAATTAGGTGGTAGTTATATTTGCGTTAATTTTATTTTGCTTGTGGAAGCTCAAGTGCCCTATTGGAATATTGCAAGTGTAGACTCAACTCTATCAGCAACATCAGAACTGAAGCATCAGAATTTAGAGCTCCCATCTTCTCCGAAGACTTGCTGATAAATCAGTTAACTATCTTAAATCTCATCGAAGACGATGTATTTTCAATTTTTAAAGAGAGCTCTGGATACCGGTCCTTGGTGTTCCAGCTCAGCTGTTGTAATTACAGTATTTGATAATAGTCATTGCAGAGCATCAGCCGCCTGGGGAAACATAGCCAGCAGTGCACCTAACAAGCAGATGGAACGTGGAGGGGAGAAGAAAGGAGACAATGCCTAAGGAATTATTAGCGCTGCTGTGGTCCTGGGGCAGCCTATGAGAGCACACAGTCTTCCGTTTCTCGTTGCTGATGGAGCAAATGCCCATTTTATAGCACAGATGTAGGTTTCTGTTTTCAAGGCAGAATGCTAGCAGTTTAAGCTGAGCAGGATTTCATTTGCACCTGAGCCAAAGAGTGAACGAATACAGAATGAAAATGGTGCCTGTATGCCCTTACTAGGACTTCACATAGATACTTGGGGACTGTTTCAGCCAAATGGGTGGGGTTCAGATAATCTTCATCAACAACTATTGCACATAAGTTTGTGCACCAGGTTATACGTGTAACTTCTAATCCTTATGGTAAGCATGTATTATGTGAGGTGCTGTCAGTCCTCATGGATGCAGATGGGAAGTCACGGGACTGGGGAAGACATTGTACAAATGGTATTGGTTTCCCTGTCAAGGACTCGACCAACGAGAAATACTGTGGAGCATCTAACTCAGCTGAGTGAATATGGGAAGAATTCCTTTTAAAAAGAGGCCTTTTAACCACTGCCATCCTAGTTAGAGTCAGGATATTTTGGCATGTGTCACGCACATACAGATGTGTTCAGAGTCTTAGGTCACTTTGCTCCCAGGAGTTGATTACCATTGACTTTGCGACTAGCCTGGAAAGAAACAATTTCCTATCTTGTTTATGCTGAAAAAGTGAGGTAGTTGTTATGCATGGTGGCCCCATCCTGATGGCCACAGCAGTTGCTTTGTTTGGCTCTCCTGATTCTCCTCAATCCATTTCCATGGGATCAAGAAAGCGTAATGGGTAATCCGTACAGTTTTGAAGTTCACCGAAAGAGTGTTTGTGAACTCTCTCAGAATTCAAGCATGCATGTGTTGTAAGGAGGCCGCTTGTTGGTTCCCAGCTGCTTAGCCCAAAATACCATATTATTTAAATCACTGCTTGGCCCATTAGCTCTAGCTTCTTGTTGGCTAACTCTTATATCTTAATTTAACCTTATTATTTATTATTTATCTTATATAATAATATATAATTAATATATCTTAATTATTTGTAGTAATCTGTGTATAGCCATGTGGCTGTGGCTTACTGGGTAAAGTTCCAGCGTCTGTGTCCAACGGGGCTACTTAGCTTCTCTCTAAAACTCTGCCTCCTTTCTCCCAGCATTCAGTTTAGTTTTCCCCACCAACCTAAGTTCTGCCCAATCAGGCCAAGTCAGTTTCTTTATTCGTTAATCAATAAAAGCAACACATAGACAGAAGGACCTCCCGTACCATGCATGAGCTCAAATGGCCAGAAATGTACTGTTTTCAGTTTTCCTTTTATCTACTTGTCTGGGAAGTGTTATGAAAAGTCCCCAGTCATTGCAGATGCACTAATTATTCAATTATTTCACTGTGCTTTCTTACTGCAATGTTAAAACATTTCAATTTGCTTTACCACCTCCTTCTGAGAAGTAAGAAGCATTTTAAGAACATTGGCCTGTGAAAGACCCTGGAAATAAGCCTGGCAGTTAGGGATGACGAATTCTCCTGTTAAAGCTCTTTCCTTGAAAGTCCACTTTTTGTGTGGCTGTGTTTTACATACTGCCCTGTCTCCAAAAACAAGAATTTTCATGACTAAACCACATAGGAGAAAACTGGCCAGAGCTGCCTTTTCATTGCTCCATTCTTTCAGATTCTTCTAACAGCCTAGAAATGCCAGTTCTGCAACGTGAAGTCAGTCAGTGTCATTTCTCACTTCTTTGTTTTATCAAACACAAACACATGTGCATGCATGCATGTACATGCACACAAACACACAGGCACACACACACACACACTGCCTTTACATTGCTCCACTCTTTCACAGATTCTTCTAATAGACTGGAAATGCCAGCTTTGCAAAGTTAAATCAGCCATGTTTCTAAGGTGTCATTTCTCTTCTCTCTTCTTTATCAAACACACACACACACACACACGCACACACGCACACACGCACCTATACCACATATACACCTATACATGTACAGTGTATATAACATATAGGAACCAGTTAATTGCCCTTTACCATCAGCGTAAAGTAGGAAATCAATCTGTAAAATCATATGCAAATTCTTCATTTGGCATATTAAATGCTTAAGAATTTAAGAACACTCCCAAAGGCATTAAACCATGTTTATTCTATTACAGTGGCGAGCTCCTTTAAGCCCCAGTTCTCTCTTCTGTAAACCAGAGAGAATCTTCTCTTTACTACCAAGCCAACTTGCAAGTCTTGAATAAACACTTGTCTGTTAAATGCTTGGCGTGGTACCTAGAACTCAGAAAGCTCACAGTAATGACAGCAGCTATTTTTGTTTATATTCTGTTCTGTCCTCAGAGCAATCTATGTCAAGTGCTAAATTCCCATTTCCTAACATAGCGTGTTTGGAACACAAAGAATTTTTGCATGATTTCTCTCTCTCCCTCCTTCCCCCCCCCCCTCTCTGTTTCCAACCTTAAAAAATGACTTTCGGTGGACTGGAGTTGATGGCTCAGCAGTTGAGTGCACTGGCTGCTTTCCAACACTAGGTCGATTCCTAGCACCCACACAATGCCTCACAACCATTCATAATGCCATTTCCAGAGGATCCAATGCCCTCTGCTGGCACCGACATATACACATGCAGGCTACTCATTCACATAAAGCAAAATAAATGAAGCTTTGTAAAACTTATCTGTGGCTGGCAAGACCGCGCCTGAGAAGAAAAGCACGTGCCTTGCAAGCCCGACAGCTCAAGCTTGAGCCTGGAACCTACAGTGGAAGCAGAGGACCAGCTCCGGCATCCCCTCCACCCTCTACACATGCACTGTAGCGCACACTAGTAATAATAACCATAATTTTTTCAATAAGTGTAAAAATTAATATTCCCTTAAATGCGGTTTGAACTCTTTAGTCATTTCAAAATAACCTTCTGACAGTTTAGTAACCATTGACTTTTGTGTGCAAAGGACCTTTGATTGCTGATACACTCCTTCTCCTACAGGCAAAATACATGGAAATTACGAAGTATATTCTGTGCAGGGTAAGTTCCCATTTTGATTTTATGTGCATGGATGTTCAGCTCCTGCCACCGCGAAGAGTCCATGCAACCAATTCTGAGACATTTGTTTCTCATAACTGGGTTCTACTGGGGAACCCTGCTGTCACGATACAATGCATGAGAGCCAAGGATGCTATTCCCAAGCCTATGAGCAGAATAGGTCCCACGAGAAAACAGAATCACCCAGCTCCGTGGGCTGCTCCGCCACTGCTGAGAAGCCCTGGTCTTACCCAAGTGATACCCCCAACTCACTAAAAAGATACCTTCTGAAGAAGATCAGAGAGCCAGCTCTTTAAACCCTTAAGGTATTTTCCCCAAAAGTGAATGGTATCTGGGTTCATTTTCAAGTTAACTCCCAATATTTGTGTGTTTCTTTAGTGAATTGTGCTTCGTTTGGGGTATAAGCCCAGACAGCTGCAGTCTTAGCCATGAAAAGATTCTCTCAGATCCATCTAACATAAGAATGGCAGCAGGGAGCCCCCAAATGGAAGTCACTTTTATGGAGCACGTGCATTGTGCTCCTGCATTGGGAGACCAGGTGTAGCTGCTCCCAGAAAAGCCTAGCTGGCTTGCGGAGAATGCCATGCGTGGCAATTCTGTTAAAATCAAGATTGGCAGATCAAATTAGCAAGAGGACCCGGTTTTCTTCTTTTTACACTTTACCAGGATATAGCAGCAGCAGGTTCTTCTCAGACAGTAATTCCTCTTAGCAGAACAGAAATGCAGATTTGAACAGCAAAATCCCTCCAGCCGACCTTCCTGCCTGAAAGCGGAGCTATTATCCCAAGCCACCTTTGCTCCATGTGACCCAGGTCATAAGCTTGTTAGAACCGCCCCAGCCCCTCTCTCTGAAGAGGTCTCTTAGGGAGGATTGAGGGGTGGGGAAAAGGACACCAGAGGCCTTGCAGCTTGAAGTGTTTATATCCAGGCTCACACAGGGGCTTCGAGGGCCTGACATCTGTGGCAGAAGCCTTGGAACAGGTGCAGCCATGCAGTACTAAATTTGTCTTCAATTATATTCTGTAGCGAGGCGCGCAATCCGTTCTCCTCGGCAGTCTGGATTTCACACAGCAGAAAATATGCGTCCCATTTATAGGCGCAAACACATGCATTGTGTGCTTATTTGAAGAGTGTCGGTGTAATGTGATACTCGTTCAAGAGACTCTTTTTATAGTTGCATCAACGTGCAGGAGGATGCTCACCACCTGATCATTTTGATGTAAACTGGTTTCAAAAAAAAATAGCATACTAATTCTGTGAGATTGTACCCCCCCCCCCCCGCTTGCAAGGCGGGGCTGTGTGAAGCTTAAGAGCCCAGGTACCGTAGGAGATCGGGAGCGGAGTTTTAATCTGTTAGCCATGCTCTCTGGGGATGGAGAGGAGCCACATATAAGCGGGTTCATGCATACATTCAGCATGATATAGCTAAGGGAGAAAGCCCTTCCTTCAAATAAATAACGTGTGGACAGTCTGAGAGCACCGTTTTTCTCTTTAATGCTCAGCCTTGGGGGAAATCAGAGAAGCTGTAGGGCTGGTGTTTGGAGACACTAGCTGTGACCACCCACGGGGTCTTTGTAGGTGGTGTCCTCACTTCCCTGAGGCCCTTCAGCTCCTAGACGTGGTGGTGGTGTTCATTTTCAGGCAGCAATAATTTGACCAGCGTCGTCTGCAAAAGTACCAGGTAGTTGTGGTGGGACCATATGTTGATGACGTGTTGAGTCACGGTAGTGCCTGTATATTGGAGGGTTCCTTGCTGCTTACAGGTTTAGTTCCCAGTCACGTAGTTCTGTTGATCTCATTGCCAGAAGGTCTACCGTCCTGTTGATGTGACATGTGATGTCACTTGTGCACGGGCCTCCATGCCAGGATCATGGTCCCACGCTCATTGCCTTCCTGCCGTGGCAAGTTGCAGCTTCTCCGAGAGACAGCTGGCACAGAAGGAAAGTTCTGGAACTATGCCCTTCCCCATAGGAGGGGAATTAGAGGAGGAGATAGAGTCTGAGCAAGAATCATTATTATTATTCTGAAAATGAAATGTTTCTGTTACTTTGCTTTTTTTTTTTTCGCGTTTGCGTTTTAATGTTTGCCAGTTGGTCAGGGGCTTACCTGATGGGATAAATGTCAAGAGGTCTAGAGGAAGGTTGAGGGGGGGCTCCAGTCATGCATGCCCCCACAACTCCTCTAGTTAACCTACCTGCCCTGTGGGGAATGTCCTTCCCACATTCTGAGCGTACAGTTTGCAGTCATTGCCCTCCTCTTAATTTTGGCAACACGAAAAGTGGAAGTTAATGTTCTCAAACGGCTTTGATCCCCTTAAGTTGATTTATTTACTCAGTCCTGGCCAGAAAACTCTTTCTGGTCCTTGTTTCTTATAAATAGCCTGTTTGTTTATGTATATTTTCCTATTTTTCTTTTGGATTTCGTCTTAACTCATACGGGTTTTTTGTTCTTGTTTATTTGGAGTTTTTATTGTGTCTTTGTTTTATGTTTCATAGTTGTTAAGCATTTATCTGTCACATATTCTACAATTTTCTCCCAGTTGCTAACTTCCTTCTAACTTTTCTGTGGTAGGTTTTTATGACTCAGAATATGTTCATTGGTGGAAAATGTGATCCATCAACATTTTCTGAAATTCCTTATAACACTCAGAAAAAGGCTGCAATCCCCCAAGGTTACCAATAGTTTTATGTCCTCAATTAATTTCATTGTTTTATTTTCATATCTTAAGAGTGCTTGAGTGGGTTTTTATTTATTACCTAAAACAGATTTACCTGCCTTCTTTGTAATGTCCGGTCAGCCCCAACGTCTTTCTCCATTGTTCTGAAGTGCCATACTCTCTCACCCTTAAAACTCTTAGTTACTTCTGATCTGGACTTTATGATTTTCTTCCCGACTTAATTAGAGTTGGCAATGGGCCATTCACAGCAGGAGATGGGCTTTGAGGGTGAAGTCAGGCAGGAGACTCAGAGTGAGGAGTGGCATGATCTCTGCAGAGAGGCAGTGGTAGGAAGATCCTGTGGCCCCTCTGTTAGAAGAAACGTGCACGCTGTGTCTGGAAAACACAGCTAACATTGGGACCCCAATGCTCTTGCTCCGCTGTATTGTAAGCCCCATGCACAGGGCCCTGGATTCCTTTCCAGCCTGTCTCCACCCAAGGCCTGATTTGTTTTACAGGTTTTACACAGGGTTTGTCAGCTCAGCGGCTCCTGCTGTGTTCTCTCTGGCTTCCTGCACCACCCCCCACTGGCCCTAAGAGTCTCCTCTCCCCGCCTGCTGCCCTCCCCTCTTCCACACGCCATTGCACTTGGCACACTGTCTGCTGGAGTCTTTTCCCCATGGGGACTGGAAGATTTCTGTAGTCAGGAATCGTGGCTCACCTCATCTCTGTATTCTCGCCATCTAGTGCGGAGCCTGGTACACAGGCAAATTTATTCAATGGTGTCTGTTGACTGAACGAGGGAGCAAGATAAAAGGATCGCTGCCCTTCTCAAAATGTCTGCATTGTCGTGAGGCCCAGCACACGTTCTGCAGCACAGCTCAGCACCCACGTCATTAGGTCCTCTCTCTGCAGAAGAGACTACACGGTCATTCACGTGGGAGCCATGTTCGCGTGCCTGAACTTCCCGGAGGAAGACAGTGACAGACTGCTAGGTGACCACTAACCTACTATAATGAATGTGTCTGTAGTTTAGCCTGAAGCCTCAGAGGGGCTATTACTTTGCAAAGCAGCACTGGGAAGAAAGAGAATGGAGAGGAAGAATTTAGAAATTGAGGGTAGGGGCTATAACCTGAGCGAGAGACAGAAAACGGGTCAGAGTAGGCACGCAAATGAGGGCTGGGAAAATGCTGGCCATTCGGTGCTGTGTTGTGTTCAGAAGGTAAAGCAGTGGTGAACAGCCTGCCCTTTCGATTGCCTCCCAGAGCATTGCGTGTGGAGCTGCCTTGGCTTCAGCGGCTGACACTTGAGGGTTTTATTTGTGCTGAAGTGGTTCAGCCTCATGAAAATTCAGTGCCATTCCCAGCAGCTACAGTCGAAGCCACTCGGCAGCAGCGTGGTGTGTGCCTGCTTCGTATGTATTCATGGCACTGAAGATTCCCGGTGACAGTCACCATGGGTGTTCTCCTGTCTTTCACGTTCTGGCAGCCAAAGTTGGGACCCTTCCAGAAGAGGTCTCAGGGAAGGGCATTCTCCCAGGACGGAGGTGGATGGCCCATGATAGCACAGAGAGGATGTTTCCAGCTGGGGGGGGCCTACCCTGTGGAGGTGTTCCTTGAGCCTGGTTCACCTTGATGGAGGAAAACCACCAAGCATAATTCAGGGCATCTTCCTGGTTTTCAGGTCTCTATGTGTTAATAGATCATGTATACATCTGTTTTTCACTAATCAGAGGGGAAGCTGAGGTTAAGTAGAATTTGGAGTCTTAGTGCCCAGAAAAGAGTGAACTTACCAACATACCAGCCAAGAGAAAGAAACAGATAGAGATAAACCTAGCCTTCTAGATCAGAGAATCAGAACTTCAATGAGCATCGGAAGGTGTATGTGGTGGTGGGGGGGCTGCGTGGGGGTGGCAGGGGGATGTTTATAGGCTTCCACTGTTCCACTCTTTTGACTGACTTTGTGATCTCGTGACAGAATGTTAATCTAGATTGAGTGTTCATTTTACTATGTGACACATATGGGCAGAACCCTCAGTGCCCTTACTGTTAGCTGAATCGGTACAACAAACAGGCCCTTGGTTTCAAGAACTTAATTGGCGTGTCGGTGTCCTCCTGGGGTGGAACAGGAAATTGCTGGCACAAGGTGGTAGTCCGTTGTTTAGCTAAAATGATGCTTTAAAAAAAAAAAGTTTGGGGTCACAATATATGGATTTACATTTGTTTTGCCTCGCAGTAAGTGACAATACTCACTTCACACATATGTGTTTGGGCTTCAAACTTTATAAGCAAGCAAGGTCTGGAGAGATGGCTCAGCAGTTACGGGCAGTTACTGCTCTTACAGCCCAGGTTTGGTTCCCAGGACCCTCACGATGGCTCACAACCATCTGTAATCCAGTTCCACGGTCCTGACTCCCTCTTCTGGTTTCCTTGGGCTCCAGCGTGCATGTTGTGCAGATATATAAACTTATGCAGGTTCATACACCTGCACGTGAATAAAAAACTTTTTTGTAAAAAAGTTAATGAGAGTTTTGTGCTGAAGAAAACATGTGTGAGATGTTCGTTTACGGAATCATAATCCTGAGCTACGAAACCATGATATATTGGCAAGTGACCACTTACCTGCTGAAAGAGCAGTTTCCTCAGAATGAACTGCAGACATCAACACACCATGTTGTGTTCTATACCAAGCTCAGCTCCTTCTAACCACACAGGAAGACATAAAGTGTCCGTATGTGTGAATTTAACTGCTTGGGCTCAAGTTAGATAAATGGGAGTCAATAGACAATTTAAAGTATGTCTGGAGTAAATAAAAAGGTCAAATTCAGAGCATTTTAGGAAATTCTTACTAGAGGTAAACAGCCGTCCCTTGTAGTTGCTGTGTGTTTTTGCATTTTCTCTCTCTGTGAAAGTGGGTAGAATTCCACTAAACCTACTCTTCAAGCATGAGGAGAAAGCTTCCGTCCCTGTTTAATGTTCTCCTGTTTTCTTTTGTCCCGAGTACATACGGTTCCAGTTTGTGCTTATAGCAATTTCTCCAGGTGATGTGTGGCAGCAGACAGTGGCGTGGAGATAACCAAAGAGGCCCTTCCCATTTCTCTTCGATCGCATCCTGTTCCCAACAGAAGGAAGGCAGATGTGGGAACACTTTCCCAGGCTCTGCTCTGAAACCCAGCACCTTCCCTGTAGACGAAACTGTCCGTCAGTGAGGGCATTTCCCCCATACCTGCTGTGGTCTATATGAAACATGCCTTCAAAGAAAATAGATTGATAAGGCAGGTTTCCTGGCCTCTAGTGATTGTCTCTGCAGCTAACTATGCAGCAGAAGGACTGAAATTCATGCTCAGGGAATGAACGCTTGTCTGAGCTGCCTGGGAATGGAGCCGATCACAGGCCACATGCTGAGTTTGTCTGTTCCCACACTTTCCCTAGGAACTGAAATCACGAGAAAGCTAAGCCAAAGCATTTTCCTCTGAGGGGAAGTACACTGGCTGGATTGTCAGAGAGGGTTAGCCTAGGACACCAGGAACCACTCTTCCTTCACACATGTTCTTTCAGAAGGCAAAGAAATGTGGGAAAGTACCTAAGTGAGGGTCCCCTGCCAGCGTCTTGGCTGCGGCCACTGGGGAGGTGTAGTAACCCCAAGGAAGTACCGCACTGGTGAATCTAGCCTCTTTAGGTACGTCCATAGGCTTAGGAGATACCAGGTCCTCTGACGCTTCATAGAGCAGCCCTTTTGAGCCCCCGACTGCTTACGATCTCTGGAACTTAGCAGTGCTGGGGCCTCACGCCAGGCCTTGTGAGTGTGAGCCAAGCGCTCTGCCGTTGGGAGTAGTTGAGCTAGTGTCAGCTGATGAGGTCTGGTGAAGACTTTTAATTGCCAATAAGTCACACGGGAAATTTAAATTATCCCGCCTCTCGGGGGCCTCCTCTGGTTGGTTCAGAGGACAAGATGCCTTTTGTGAAAAACTGTCTGCCCATTCCTGAAAGTTTCCAGAAGACTTAGCGTCGAGCTTCATTGCTCTCTAGGAGACAATAGGAGGTGGGTATTAAGATTTAATTTCTGACTCTGTTCCAATACTTGGAACCAAACCTGATAACCTGCTACATAGAAACCTTGAGAACTGCAGGGAGACAGGCTAGAATTCATCCCATCCCCCTGATTTAGAACGTCATTCCCAGGCTAGCTTAAAGTCTGAGTTCTCACAGTGCTATTGGGCTTCACTTATTTTCAAGGCTAAAGCTACTTGATATTCATATTTGACCTCTGACTCTTCATTGTCAGCTTATAACTCTAGCCAGCATAGATAATTCACTGTGAACTCTCAAAATGAATGATATAAATTATGTTTAATTAGCTGAAGCCATAGGAGGATAGTATCAGCCCTAAATATGGGTCACCTAAGCAAAAAATTATGACTTAATTGATTTTCTCCAGGTTTCAGGTTGAACCTAAAATGCTTTCCATTCCGAGGTCTTAGTGTCCCTGTGAAGTGTGTTCAATATAGTTCTGCTCACAGGCAAGCTACAAAAGCATGTGGTACCTTAAGGAACTCTTTCTTAAAAACACTGCATTTTCCAGAATCTTTATCTTATTTTTCCACCAGGAACTGGAATTCCACACTATTGTGTCTAGTTAATAACATAACTCTGTCTACTGAAGAAGTCATACTCCTCTGACGACATTGCCTCTGGTAGGCCCAAACTCCAGTGAATGTTCCACACCCATATGGCCACAGACACCACTGTGGATAGAGGAGATTATTAATAACAGCAACAAAAAGAGAGATGAAGTTGGGAGGGAGGGATTTTGGGAAGTGGGACACTAGAGGCTTGGGATGCAGTTCACTGATAGAGCACTGGCCTAGTATGTGTTTGAGGCCCTGGGTTTGAGCCCTGTCACCATGAAAACAAAGGGGAAGGGAAAAGAATACGCTTTTTCAAATACAAATCCATAGTTTTATATATATACTACCTCTAAATAGGTAACCTTGGTAACGTTGCTCAAGTGTGTCTTAGCTTTCCTGCCCATAATGTGGGGGCAACGCTAGTGCTTCCTTGCAGTGTTCCAGAGGGAATGAATGGGCGGGTGTCACAAGCGCATAGCAAACACATTTGTCACAAGCTCTATGCCATCTATGTACATAGTCACCGTACGTGTTTTTAGATGGGCGTAAGATTGTATGGTGGTGGAAATAATATCCTCTCTTCCATCCCTTCTGACAGGAAAATGGCAAATGCTAGATGGTGGCCTCCTGAACATCACCAGGGTATCTTTCTCAGACAGAGGGAAATACACGTGTGTGGCATCTAACATCTATGGCAGCGTGAACAACACAGTGACACTGAGAGTCATCTTTACCTCCGGAGACATGGGTGTATACTACATGGTCGTGTGCCTAGTGGCCTTCACCATCGTCATGATCCTCAACATCACCCGCCTGTGTATGATGAGCAGCCACCTGAAGAAGACTGAGAAAGCCATCAATGAGTTCTTTAGGACAGAAGGTGCCGAGAAGCTGCAGAAGGCCTTTGAGATTGCCAAGCGCATCCCCATTATCACCTCAGCTAAAACTCTAGAGCTTGCCAAAGTGACCCAGTTCAAAACCATGGAATTTGCCCGGTACATAGAAGAGCTTGCCAGAAGCGTGCCCTTGCCTCCCCTCATCATGAACTGCAGGACCATCATGGAGGAGATCATGGAAGTGGTCGGGCTAGAGGAGCAGGGGCAGAATTTTGTGAGGCATACCCCGGAAGGCCAGGAAGCCACCGACAGGGATGAGGTATACACAATCCCCAACTCCCTGAAGCGAAGCGACTCCCCCACCGCCGACTCGGATGCTTCGTCGCTACCTGAACAGCCCCCTCAGCAGATCGCCATCAAGGTTTCGGTTCACCCCCAGGCCAGAAAGGATCATGCAGATGACCAGGAGGGTGGGCAGTTTGAGGTCAGAGATGAAGAGGAGACGGAACCATCCGAGGAACACTCCCCAGAGACTGCGGAGCCGTCGACAGACATAACGACCACGGAGCTGACGTCTGAAGAGGCGTCGCCTGTCGAGGCCCCAGAGCGAGGACTGCCACCAGCACATCTGGAGATGCCAGAACCAGCAGTGACATGTGACAAAAACACCTGCATTATTTATGAAAGCCATGTCTAATCTTAACTCCGAAAAGCTATGCATATCAAGAAAAATCAGGGGCTGCTCCTTGTAATACAAATGTAGTATGCACTTGCCGCTAAGCCTTACCAGGAGACTCTCATCCCTTAGGTTGGAGTGATGCCCCGTGACGGGGAAGACACCTGCATGGAGTTCATGGGACTAGACTCACCCCAGTAGGAACAGACGTGAGAAGTGCTGGGGTCCAGAACTGATCCGAGGGGGCAGAGGTCTGTCCATGGGATCTGAATCATAGAGGCCATTCTCTGCCAAATCCCTTAATTGGTGATGCCCTTTTGGCCAAGAGTACACCACTGTAAGATGTTCTGAGTTCAGGAGCCGTGTCTAATGCATACTGCATTGCTTTTTTTCGGTAATTATAAGTCTGCTACAGTAGCAATTGCTCCTACATGAGTTTGTTGCACTTTTTCTTCTCAGTTTTAATTATTTTCACAGTTCTTCTATAATGGAGTAGTTGTTATTATATTAATATTAATTGCTCTTTCTGCTGGAGCCTTTCTGTGTCACCTTTATCCTTGTTTTTTCTTAGTGTGTTTACCTCAGAGTCTTGGGTGTCAGTCACTGACATGGCTGTACTCCGTCCTTTGTAATGCTCCAAAGTAGTTACGCCCCACTCTTTTTCCTAATTTCCTCTATTCATACTCGTTTTGTTTCCAATGAAGCTGCTATTCTGAAACTGAGAAAAACTTTGCCCCCAAATAGCACTTTAACAGTCAAATTTACCTGTCCAGTTCTCAGAGCATTTAGGGCGAGCTCAGCTTGAGGTGAGGAACAAGATTATAAATGCTTAGATATACCCACAGCTCTCCAGAAAATGGCTTACATGCAAGTGCCCTCAGAACAGCCCCAGATGCTTGTCACCACCCGAGCCCCATCAGAGGAAATGGCCTTGGACAGCCCGGTTCTTACCAAGAACGTCATCGTTTTTATTGGATTGTGAATAGAATATGCAGGGGACCCCTCGAAGCTCACTTAGAATTTTGTGGAAAGTCTCCAAACTATAATAACCCCTAAGTCAATGGGAACCTAGAGAGGAAAGAAAAAACTCTTTAAAACAATTGTGAAAAAAAAAAAGTTTTACTATTGGGTTCTTTCTCCGAATATGATGCCATCAAAAGAGAACAGCATTCTGAGTTCATACCAGTTTACCTCTCTTGCAGAGAGGGAAACCAGGGTCCAGATTTGCTAAAAAGCCTGGCAAAAGAAGACAGGGTCTTCACTTGGAAGATTTATTGCTTCCTAAGATAGAGGTGTTTGGCGAATTCCTGTAGGTACAGCATGTTTGCTTCCCAGAAGGCCTTGCAGGGCCCATAGGGTACTGCTCAGCTCAGCACTAGATTTAGGGCAGATTCTCTGTGAAGGATACAACCAGGTCCCCTTTAGACTGCATAGTCAACATGTTGATCTTTGAGAGGGAGCTTGCAAAATTAAGATAATGACACACAGGATTTTATCCTGAAATTATTATATTCTTTGGCCACCATGTAATGCATAAGGCAGCTTGATATTAGAGAACAAAGACAATCCAGCCATTCATTGGGTTAATTCTTGACTGTGCCAATAAGCAGCTGCCAGGCTTTTAGCAAATCTGGACCTTGGTTTCTCTCTCTGCAAGAGAGGGTGAACTGGTATGAACTCAGAATGCTGTTCTTTTTTGATGGCATTATATTCAGAAAAAGAACCCAAGATTAAAACTTTTTTGTTGTTTTTTTTTTCCACAGTTGTTTTAAAGATTTTCCATTTCCTCTCTGGGTTCCCATGCCGTTTTAATGCTGTTAGTTCCTTGAACGAAAGGAATCACAGCATTTTCAACAAGTTCTCAAAATTTTTCCCCTCCAAAAAATAGATTTTGTGCCCCGCTTCTACAGTTTAGATTTAATCTTGGTAAGAGCGATGAGTGCTGCTGTTTTATTCTCAGATACAAACAGGGGAGACTGAAACCTTACAGAATGCATCAGAGCCGAGGCCATCTCAAGTGTGATGAGTGTCACAGGCTTGTGACGTCAGAGGCTGCGTGGGTTATCAGAACAGCCCCAGATGCTTGTCACCACCTCAGCCCCCATCAGAGGAAATGGCCTTGGACAGTCCTGTTCTTACAGGAACTCAATCATTTTCATTTGATTGTGAATAGCATATGCAGGTGACCCCTTAAGGCTCACTTAGAATTTTATGGAAAGTCTTCAAACTGTAATAACCCCTAAGTCAATGGGAACAGCTTGTGGGGTACATACTTTACAACAGGGGCATCCGAGGGTAGCAGAGTTGGCGGTACAAGTGACCGTGACAGGGCTGTAGACAGTTCATGGGCAAAGCCTCTGACAGCATTTGGAGTTTGACAGGATTTCCCTTTAAGAGGGATTCCTTATTGATTCCTAGTGAAAAGTCTTGAAGGTCATCTAAAGAAACTTGTAGCCTTCTCCCCTAAGGAGCCAGAGCTTCTTTGGAGGCTGTCTGGATGGGGATCTTATACAGCCACATTGAAGGAAAGTTTTATCCCCAGCTCTTAGAATATACACATTTCGTGATTGTCACCGAGACTGACAAATGCTTACTTTTGACATATGTACCCAGAGTGGCAGCAGGGACTGACTGGCAAATGTCCTGTGATGGTATGTGAACTCTATTCTATCTGGTTCTCATGTCACCAAAGCCTGCGTGTAGACTTCCCCATGGAAATGGGAAGCCGAGGTACCCATGCCATGTAATACTGATTAAGGAGTATAAACTAAAGTAGGCAGATTTTTCTTTGGCATAAGAGCTGAAATATATGACCAATGAATATTTCCAGATTGATTTTGATTCTTTGGACTGGAGTGGGATAGGGAGTAAGTGGATGATTTTGAAATCTCCCTCTTTAAGGTATCAAATGTTCTCGGCATAACAACATCTAACCATAAAGGGAACTTGGCTTGATATGGAATTTGTCCATTCAGAAATTTTATGCTCTCGCTGCCCCTCCACAGAACAGCTTCTTACTAGGATGTGAAATGTGGAAACTTCATCTCATAACACTTGGCTGATAGTTTCCCAGAAAAAAGTTAACCATTCGGGTTCCCAGAATCATTTGTGGAGTCCCGTTGAGCAAACATGCACACACACTTGTGCACAATAGACTCATTTGGGCAGCTTTAAAAGCTCAACACTCAGACCCAACCTATGTATGTCCTTTGGGTCTTCTATAGTCATTCTTTAAAAAAAAAAAATCAAACAATTTCTGGTTTCTGAGTCATCCTGGTCATACCTCTAGCAATTTTTTTCTTGAAATTCTGAAAATGATTCACGTACATATGCATATTTAATTCTCTTAGATGATCTATAAACTTCGATGGTATTTATTCTAAATGGGAAAAAATACCCAAAATTTTATATTGGAAAAAAATCTATGTAATTTATAATGTTTTGTTTTATATATTTATATTTTCATATCTTTAGGGCACATCTGTTGTTCTCATCTTTTTGTACATCACAGTTGGCAAAAAGAAATGCTAATACTTGACTAAAATCTCTAGGAACCAAATGTGATCTATGTGCTACATAATGTATATAACTTGCTCTAGAACTCTCTGAATGTCCTCACCCATGCCAAGCACTGTTGTGTCATGTCATTACGGCCAGAATGTCTGGAGTGCTCTTGAACATTACTTTTTCACGAGGAAGATTGAAAGGCCTGATGTCCCACACAATGGATTTGGGGATCTCTTTCCCTTCCTTATCTTATTGGTTTCTTCCTTAACTGGACGCGTCCTGCTGAAGGGCAGGTAGGAGATGAGAAAACACCAGGAATGAATCTCACTATGGTTGTTAACAGACTGAGGACATGTGTTCAGTCCCATGCCTGGGTTGTCATTCACTGGTGATGTAGCATCTGCTTAGCTCTGTTGCACACACAGCGTAGGGCATGAAGAATGCTTGCATGTTTTGAGTAGGTACTGTGGATACTTAGTGCGGCCACTATTGGTGACTGTGGGGACACCCTTTGGGCACTGGAAGAAATGTCTTAGCAAAAGTCAGTTATCTTTTCTTACATGGTTTGAAGGAGGAGGCTTATTCTGTGTTCGAACCTATAAATGACAGTCCCAATGCTTAACTGGGGATTTCTGTGTTTTCATTTGGTAAGAAATGGAGCATTAAAGTCTAGTTCAAATGCTTTTCTCAGCACGTTCAGCTGCTCTTCTTCACGTCTTCCTGCATCCTCTCAGCAACCCCACTGAGTAATCCCCGTTTCCTCTTCAGCACTTCCTGGAACACTTTAAACATCAACCGAGCTTCATTATGTATTCACACATAGCTTTGAACATGTTCACTTTAACATACCGATTTTACATTTCACCGATAAAGCCTTCAAACCAATAGCGAAGTTCATTTTCTTAATGACCTTTTTATGATTTCTTCAGAGATTAACAGGTTTTGAAGAAACAAATCATTTGTGGGTAAAAAAAAAAGCATAATCAAATAGAACAGAATTGCTTATATTTTCCAAAAGATCAAGTGTTTGACTATTATCCAAAAAAAAAAAATCTCATGTGAGAAGGACGCTCTTTAAACATCTTTTTTCCCTTAGAAATGGAAATATAAAGGGGTTAACACTGAGAATACCACAATCATTAAAGCTAGACAGACAGAACTAGAAAGGAAGCCATTCTATGAACATTGTGGAATAAATTAATTTTATTATTTAGCGAATTAAAAAAGCCTCAAAATGCATCTTTCTAATCTTACAGAACCATGAGGAGTGAGTTAGTTTCAGAGAATATGTTTGCATCTATTTTTGGCTTCCTGTTGCTTCACTAGTTCTGAACTTTCTTCGTTAGACTGGAAATGAGATGGAAAATGTATCAGGAAGAAATACAAAATCATTTAAAGATATAAACAAATTGCTAAGGTATACGTTGATATCGCTGTAGTAAAAGGAAAACATGATGTGTGATCCATCCTGTAGTCTGAGTGTTGCTTTAATAAAGGGTTTACACAGGTATGTGGGTCGTGTGTTATGTCCCGTCTGAAGGGCACTTAATTTGGCCTAATTGACCCCTTAATGCTTTCTTGACAAACTTTATAAAGCAGTTTATCTATACCGTATAAAATTTAGCCATACCATCAAGCAGAGAGTCCTTCTGAAATTGGACTAGGAAACCCAAACATTGCACAGGAAGAATGCATCATAGCAGAAATTCTCCAAGTCACCCGGGTGGCAAGGGCCCCGGGCTGATGCCAAAGACTCAGTGAGTAGATTCTTCAGTGATCAAGTAACCTGCAGAAGCACAGATCCCAGCTCAGATGAGATAGCAGGCGAGTAAAAAAAGAGACTAAGAATTATTGCTGAACAACAGAAACATTTAAGAGATTGATGTCACTGTTAAGGAGCGCATTGTCAGCTGCACCGTGACAGGAGAGAAATAAGTCGGTCCTGATAAATTTAAGCTAATTTGGAGCTTAAAGACCCAAACAGACACCAAAAATGTTGTTTTCTTCAGGTTCTAGAATGCTGTGGTCTTCAGTGGACAGGTCACCTTCAGGGTACGTGAGTGACTTTCAAAGAAACGGAGAATTTGAGATGTGGAAAGCGAGAGTGGGGTTATCTGATATAGTCTTCCCTGTGATGTCACTGGCAGGCACTTCTGCTCTTCTTGGGCTTATAAGGGGGAGAACTCTACCCCAGGATGTGAAATACTCTGCTGTGACTATGTTTAGGTGCTGAGTCACAAATCTTAAATGCTTGTCCTTTGAATGGGAAGCATGGCTTGATCCTTCTATGATAAAACTGTCTTCTATACTGTCAACACAAACCAAATGTAATGCACATAACACATAACACAGAGGATTATAACAAAAGACTGGGCACTTCTGACATCATTGCATTTGCTGTGTCGTGGGTAGAATGAATGAGGGGTATGGCTTTGGTCAAAAGGAATGTAATGTTTCTCGCACTATGATGGCACAGGCTAACTATAAAGAAGAGGTTTCATTCACTTACAAATTCCACTGCTGAAAAGAGCACAACATCTAGGCAGGACCCACCTGGGCTGTTTCCCCTCAGCATGGGCAGCAGTGGCAGGATTGTAGAGGAAACACTGTATCTCAGAATAAAAAGACAAGGACTTGCCCTTCTGAGAGTACCCTCCCCAGTAACCCAAGGACCTCCCACTGGGCTCTACCTTCTTAAATTCCCACTCCCACCTCAATGAAGATGAAGCCTCTAACACGAAATGTTGGGGGACACAGCTACATTCAAACCATAGTCTCACAGTGGCCATAAAACCCATTAAAACAGCTGGTCAAGAGAATAGAATAGGGTGGAGACCTAACATGCCAGTTAGGTAAAGTCAATAGGGTGGCCATGAGACCACCTAAGGAAGGGAACTCTCCTTAAGCTGTGTTAGAGTAAGTTTCTTTACTGTACGCACCCCACCCCACCCCTAGTGAAGCCACCAGGAGACTCAGCTGGTTCTTCCTCCCTTCCTGAGGGCTGAGTCAGAATAGCACAACTATTTCTCTTTCTTTTTTCCATCTCTTTCTTTTGGATGTTGACCAAAACCTAAGGATCCTTTTTCTGATACTTTGACCTTCCTTGTTTTTCACCAATGCTGCCATGTGGCTGCTTGACTTCCTTATGTCTGCCCTCCACGTTGGCTTAAATGGCGTGACATTTTTCCTTCTCTCCTCCATTAACCTCTTCTGGACAGCTGCTGAGAGTTACAGCTTGCCTGACATGAGGATTTTGTTGTTGTTGTTATTTGTTCGTTTTTTCTCTAATAAAACTGTCCTCAGACTTCTTTTTGAGTCTGTTCTTCAATTCTGTTATTCCTAAACAGCTGCAGGGTGGCAGATCTACAGTTATTACCAAGTAGATCACTATGTTTTCAAGGAATTACTAGAATTGACTTGAAAAAAAGTATGTATTATATGTTATATCCAGATACTTATTAAATGACCAGCACTCATTGCCTTCATGATGTTAGGTGAAATCACCAAAGTTAAAATAATGTTCCTGAAATAATGACAAATACGAAATAAAATTAAATTTAAAATGAGGCTTAATATGATAATATGACTTTCTCAAAACAGTAAATCTCACTAAATTTATCATTGTCCAAGTGTTACCTACTTCTTGCCCGATATTTATTGCAAAGGTGAATTACTTTGTTGAGTACTTGGAACTAACTAAATGTTAGGTCCCATGGAAACCTGGACCAAAGGCTAACTGAGGTGCCTATTAACATATCAAAGCAGACTCTGGCCAGCAGGCTCTCCCAGCATCTCAAGTGCCTGTCACAGAGTCCTGACTTTCCACAGCACTTCTCACCCATGCCACCCCCACCCTAAGCCTCTCCAGCCTCTGCACTGCACTACCCTCCCGCCCCAGCTTCTCTTTCCTCTATAAAGCAGCCATTTTGGCCATGTTCTGACTTGGTCCTCAGTTCCTCTCATTCTCTATTTTCTTCCCTCTCTCTTCTCTTTCTCTCTTGCCTTCCCCCTTCTCTCTCCTCCCATGGCCCAGTCTATTCTGCTGACCATGTTCACTCTGGACTCTTCAGATGCTTCTGGCTGTTCTCTCCCACATCTCTCCAATAAAGACCTCCTCCTCAACCATACCTAGGCATGGTCCTGCCCTCCTTTCATTGACTAAACAGAGTGGTTTTTCTTATAGTTGTCTAGGGTTTTAAGATCCACCATAGAATAGCAAACAAATCACCAAAGAATCAAACAAATCACTCGAGCGCAGACCTCTAGCAAAATTAGGAGGCTTTCCCTTCTTCCTTGTAAATCCTGTGAAAGAGCCAAAGTCAACCTACAAGCCTCATTTCCCCAGGGCAAGGTAACTTCCTGGAATGCTGGGAGTTGTAGTTTTCACAGGTTTTCCCTCCCCTAAACAAGTTTGTTTGACTATACCAGACTTGCTTGATGTCATGGAGGCAGGAGGTATGTAGGCAGGAAATACATCAGGATGCATCCTTGCCCTGATTGACCTGAAGGGAAATGCAATGAATTTTAAGTTTTGCCTATTTCAGACCCTGAAAAATGTGAACCCCCGAGCAACTCCCGGGGATCTCAGAGTGGGACTGACCAGAGTCCATCCTGGTCAGTATATAATAAAAGCCTGCTTCAAATTCGGTTCAAAATCATGGAACTGGTTTTTTTCTCTCAAATCTCAGAATTAGTACCTGCACAGCATGCTCTTGGAATTGCTGGTGATGGAGACAGAACTCTTCCACACTGGAGACATTTAAAGCGATTGCTGTCTGTTTTTAAACCTGGCTGGACTACAGGTTGGTTCTGCTGACTTCTAGCTTGGAAAAGTGAAGGAACCAAGTCCCGAAGCTTCAAAAGTCTTCAGAATGATAACCGCCAAGGTTCTCACGTGACACAGTGTCTTAGGGTTTCTATTGCTGTGAAGAGACATCATGATCACAGCAAAATCTTAGGAAGGAAGACATTTAATTGAGTTGGCAGCTTACAGTTTCAGAGGTTCCGTCTATTGCCATTGTTGGGGTCCTGCAGAAGTCCCACAAAAGGCCACCATCCACATAAGCAATTAGAAAGAGCGTTTATTATGCTACCTGCATGTGGGGTCACTCACCTGTACAAAATGGCTGTGAGACTCCTTTTAAGCACAGCTAAGGGGAGCTCCTGGAGCAGTTAGATAATTTTATCTATGATTGGCTTAAGCAAGTGGCAATTATGTTAGTACATTCCTAATTGGCTAGTGATGTGGGATGTCCTTCTGTATATGCATTGCTCTTATTGGTTGATGAATAAAGCTGTTTCGGCCAGTGGACAAGCAAAATGTAGCTAGGCAGGAAGTCCAAACAAAGATACAGTGAGAGAGACGGAAGAGTCAGGGAGATGCCATGTAGCTTCTTGGGAACACAAGATGTGAGGTAACAAAGCAAGCCATGAGCCTCATGATAAAATATAAACTAATAGAAATTGGTTTACTTATGGTTAGAGCTAGCCAGTAAGAAGCCTGAGCTATTGGCCAAACAAGTGTAACTGATATTAAACCTCTGAGTGTTCCTTGGGGAACAAACAGGCAGAGAGAAACTAGTCCATTGAGACCAGGTGAGAAGACTCCATCTACAGACTAGAGCTATAGCTTTTTCATTTGGGGGCATGCCTGGACAAGTCCCAGGGTTTGTCCTTATTTGGTTATTACCCTGAACTGCTGTGAGGCTATGGCGGGAGCTGACTCAGGCCTAGTATAACTTGGGCTGCTGTCAGGGGTGTCAAAGATTGATTGTCCTTTGTTCTTGACTTCCTCAGAAACAGCCTGCTCAGTTTCAAGAAGCAGGAACTGAAGTTAATTCTTAACTGAGTTATTTGGAGCCTCTCAAGATACTTACCAGGCCTTGTCAATCATCATGGCAGGCAGCATGGTGGTGTGCAAGCAGACATGGTACTGGAGCTTTGAGTCCTGTTGGCAGAGGCTATACATTTATTCCCAGACTCCCAGACCCAAAATAATCACACAGAAGCTATATTATTTGTGATACTGTTTGGCCAATAGCTTAAGAATATTTCTAGCTAGCTCTTATAACCTAAACTAACCCATCTCC